TTCTTGGCCATTCCATTGCACCAACACCTGCACCCCTGCAACATTACCCTTCATGTACATCCTTTTAGCAAGTATGGCCTGTGGAATATTGTGAACCAAACCATCATCTGTGACTTGGGGTAGCTCAGACTGTGGAATGATAGCCGGTCTAAGTGGCTTCTTGAGACAGCTCACATGGAAAACATGATGGATCTTTGTCTCCGGGGGTAACTTTAATTTGTAAGCAACCAATCCAACTTTCTCCACAATTTCTTAGGGTCCATAATACCTTGGTTGTAACTTGTGATAGCTATGTGGGGTTAAAGCCTGTAACTGATTGGGTACCAGCTTCAAGTAAACCAAGTCACCCACTTCGAAGTGCCTTTTAGTCCTTTTCTTATCACTATATTGCTTCATCTGATTCTGTGCCACCACCAAATTGTTCTTCAACATTGACAACATTTTATCTCTGTTCATTAGCTTCTATTCCACAGTTCCTACCTTTGCAGTGCCTATCTCATAAGGAATTACTTGCGGTGGAGGGTAGCCATATACGATCTCAAAGGGAGTATGTTTCGATGAAGTGTGAAAAGAGGTGTTGAAGCACCACTCAGCCCATGGTAGCCATTGAACCCATTTCCTAGGTTGCCCTCCTACGAAACACCTTAAATAAGTCTCCAAGCACCTGTTCATTACCTCTGATTGCCCATCACTTTGAGGGTGATACCTCGAACTCATGCATAACGTAGAGTCTTGCAACTTAAAAAATTCCTTCCAGAAAGCACTTATAAAAACTGGATCTCTATCGCTTACAATAGAGTTTAGCATCCCGTGACGCTGGAAAATATGTTCCACAAAGAGTTATGCTACAGAAGAGGCAATATAGGGGTGTGACATAGCAACGACATGGGCATACTTGGAGAGTCTATCCATCACCACCCATATCACAGATTTGCCCTTGCAACTAGGTAAACCAACAATAAAGTCCATACTAATATCACTCCAGACTCTCTCTAGTATTGGAAGGGGTTGTAGTAATCTAGGGGTAAGATATTTTCAATTTTGTTTTGCTGGTAGGTAGGACACTCAGCTATGAATTGCCGAATGTCATGTTTCATCCCTTTCCAGTAGAACCCTCTTTTGATTCGCTGATAAGTTTTATGCACTCCTTGATGCCCTGAGGATGAGGTTGAATGATGTTCTGCAATAATTTTGACATTCCAATCAAAAGATGGGCCTAACATAATTCTTTTCTTATAACAAAGAAACTCGTTGTCAATAGAGTATTAACTCAACTTTGAACTATCAGTGCCATCATGTCTAGCTTGCAACAACATCTTCTTTTTCTCCTAAATCCATGCATTGTTCTCACTACCCCTTCTCAACTCATCCAACCAACCTGCATAGAGGTAAGAAATGGCAACACACTCACTGATCTCACCATTGTTAGTGAAAGGTTCTTGCATTTGAGGTGTATCATGCAGCCTTGACAATGCATCAACTACCATATTTTGAGACCCTTGTTTATATTGAACTTCGTAGTCATGCCCCATGAGCTTTGAAACCCACTTTTGTTGAAAATGAGTACTTGCCCTTTGACCTAAGAAGTACTTAAGGCTATTGTGGTCAGTTTTGATAACAAAATGCCTTCCTTGCAAGTAATTCTGCCATTTTTTCACTGCATGCATTATAGCAATCAACTCCTTCTCATAAGTGGAGAGAGCTTGGTTTCGAGGACCAAGAGCTTGACTAGTGAATGCCATAGGTCTTCCCCTTGTTGAAGAACAGCCCCAATGCCATATCTAGATGCATCACACTCTAATTCAAAGGGTTGAGAGAAATTAGGATGAGCCAAAACCTAGGGTGAAATCATGATGGATTTAAGATGTTCAAAAGCTTGTGTCGCTTCATTACTCCAATGAAAACCATTTTTTCGAGTCAACTGATAGAGAGGGTGACATATCTTGCCATATCTTGGAACAAATTTTCTATAATATCCAGTTAGTCCGAGGAACCCCCTTAACTCTTTGATATATTTTAGAGCTGGCCACTCTTGTATAGCAGACAACTTAGAAGGATCAGCTGCTACCCCTCTATGAGAAATGATGTGCCCAGATATTCAACACTCGACTGTCCAAAAGAGCATTTGGATTTCTTAAGATATAATTGATTTCCCTTTATGGCTTCAAACACAGTTTGCAAGCATTGTAAATGTTCTTCCCAACTCTTGCTATATATCAAAATGTCATTGAAAAATACTAACACAAACTTCCTAAGATATAGCTTGAATATATCATTCATCAAGCTTTGGAAGGTGGTTGGCATGTTGGTAAGTCCAAAAGGCATCACTAAAAATTTGTAGTGACCCTCGTGAGTTTGAAACACAATCTTTTCAACATCACTAGCTGTACTTAGAATTTGGTGGTAACCATATCTTAAATCAAGCTTAGTAAAATACCATGCACCATATAACTCATCCAATAGATCATCAATAAGGGGTATATGGTATTTGTCCTTGATGGTCAGGGCATTAAGTTCTTTGTAATCTATACATATCCTCCAACTGCCCTCCTTCTTCTTAACCAAAAACACAATGAATGAAAAAGACTATGGCTTGGGCGAATGAACCCTGCAGCCAATAATTCTTGAACTGCCTTCTCAATTTCTATCTTCTGTAATGGACCATAGTAATATGGTCGAATGTTTAGTGGTTTAGCTTCCTGGAATAAAGGAATGTGATAATCATGTTCCCTGGGTGGAGGTAACTTAGTAGAGACTTGGAAGATATCTTCGAATTGCCTCAACACTTCTTGAAGTTCGTGCAATTGATCCCCACTCTAATCACAAGACTCCAGTTTCTTTCCTTCCATAGAATAGAGAAACAGTCCCAAATTAGAGCTTCCAGCACCCTGTCAACGTTTTGTAGAGAAGTATCTGGAATGCACGGTGAGGGGGTCACAGTAGGAGACAATTTATAGTGGTGGTAATCCTTGGTCAATTCCATTGTAAGCAACTGGAAATCCCATAGGACCGGACTCACAGTTGACAACCATTGTACTCCTAAAACAACATCACAACCACCCAAGGGTAAAGAGAAGAGATCAACCTTATAGGTATACCCCCCAATGAGAGTATAGTATTCGTGCAACAACCCGAACTACGAACCTTGCCTCCATCAACTATCATGACTTCAAAGTTTCTAGTAGGAGAGATAGGTTGCCCCCATTGTTTCAACAACATAGAGTTGACAAAGTTGTAAGTGCTACCAGAATCTAACAAAATTCGAACATTGTGCCCATTAATTTGTCTTTCAACCTTCATAGTACAAGTTGTTTGGTCCTCCCCAGTACCATAAAATGCATAGGAACTGAGTTCCATGGGTGGATCAGGGCTAAGAACCTTTAAAGGTAATTCAACCCCCTCAAGATCAATGACATACAGCAATAACAGTTGCTTTAACCGACACTTATGCCCCGTAAACCACTTATCAGTGCAAAACCAACATTCTCTTCACTCTATTTTTCTTTGAATCTCCTTAGGTGACAATTTCTTAATAGGGTACTGGAAAATGATGAGTAGTGGTGGTGGTGATTGGCTTGGATTGAGCAGTGGATTTCATAATGAGAGTTCTGAGCTTAGCAAATTTGTCATCTAACTGCAGAGCAATGGAAATGGCCTCATGAACACTCACAGGTTTTAATATCTTCACATCAAATTTCAATTCCTTCTTCAACCTCCCTATGAAGCAACTCTTAAGTAAGAGCGGACCAATTTCAGGCGAACGAGTGGCTAAACGCCTAAATTTCGATATATAGTCACGGAGACTACCAGTTTGGAGATGTTTGAAGAGTGCTTCAGAACTATCTTCAAATGCAGGTGGTCCAAACTCTATACACAAGGCCTTAGTGAACTCCCACCAAGTAGGGGTGGTATTTAAGCAATCCAACCAACGAAACCAGTGGAGAACCTCACCGTCAAAATGGAAAGATGCAGTGAGGATACGTTGAGCATCTAGAATGTTGTAGAAAGAGAAATACTGCTTCGCCTTATAGATCCAGGCTAGGGGATCGTCACCTTCGACAAATCTTGAGAAATCAAGGCGGTGAGGCCATGGTAATCATGGTGTAGCTCCCCCTACTCACAGAAGGACTTTACGGAGGCGGCATGTGATCCATGTTCGGTGGTGGGAGGAAGCAGAGGCACCAGCGCCAAGGTGTTGACAACCGAGCTCACGACGAAATTGCTCAAAATAGAGAGGCAAACGAGCATCAAGGTGATAATTGATTTTGGAATCAAACGCTGTGTTAACCGCAGAGGTGATGAGGGGGGGAAGATCGGCAAGGGTAGTTTCGATGGAAGAGACACAGGCATCCATGACGGTGAAGCGAGTAGTATTTGTATAATGGGGCATGCACAGCAAGGAAAATCAGCGATTGAATGGGTGATATCAATGATAAGACCCAGACCTGCAATGGTCTCAACTTGCAATGACAACAATGGCAATGGAATGTAAGGGAAAATGGTAGAGAGAGAGAATGAAGAATAATCTATTGATTAATTCCGCAATGCCCATACAATTTTCCTTGGCCACCATTTAACCACGAGCCAATGTATTTTTCCCCACTACATGTGTGTCAGCTGGAAATAACTAACTAATCAAATGGACTCTCCTAAAGACTTCAAACCATGGCTGCCATTCAATTTTATAAAAATTGTTTCAGTTTTTTTATTCAAATTGTATGGCAACCGTATTGGAGACATAAATGGTCCCACCCATTCACTTTTACTTTTCAATCACCATTTACTTCTCTATTTTCTTCCCCACCACCAATTCAAGCATATTAATGAAATATCTTGTGTTGAACAAAAAATAATAATAATAAAAAAATTAAAGAGAAGTTTGCAAACAAACAAACTTCTCAAAAGACAAAGGAAAGGTAGCCCGTTTCAGACTTGGAAAACCCAAGTCGACAAAGACGGGAGCAAAAATAATAATAAATATATATAAAGAAAAACACATATATCTCCCTACAGAAGAGGAAGAAACGTGGAGCAAAAACTCCTCATTTTCTGCAAAACGTGGGAAGATTACAGTCGTGGAAGATTGCTGCACAGATAGTGGGAGAAGTTAAGGGAAAGTGGAGGCCTCTACTCCCCCACGTAAAAACTCCAGAGCCTTCCAACCATGCCTATAAATAAGTACTAGTTGCAGTACAAAAAAAAAAAAAAGGGAAACAAGAGGAAAGACTCTGCAGAAATTGAGAGACGACGTTGAAGAACGGAAGAACAAAGCAAGAAAGCAAGGGGAAAACCAACAAAGCATTCAAAAGGTAAAAATCCAGTTTTCTTAAAAAAAATTCTTCGTTTGGTATCTCTCGGTCTCGCAGGGAATAAAGAAGCAATTTGCTTCTCCAACCTATCCCATTCCCCAACGTCTTCCCAAATTGTAGCCCAACAAACCATAACGAAACCACCACATCTCTCTTTTGCTGCAGCGATATACAATGGAGATTTCAGCAAAATGCACCGATTGGATTCAACCCAATTTCAAAAAGAAAGAAACCAGTTGCATGGATGCCCAAAAAAGTTTTTTACATGGAAGGATGTCACTTACCCATCATCCCCAGTGATGGTTCGAGGTTCGTCGATAACGCGAGGATGATTACAAATAAAGCAACAACATGGGTGCCTAAAGAAGTTTTTGCATGGAAGGACATCACCTACCCATCGTGCCCAGGGATGGTTCGAGGTTCGTCGATAACGCGAGGATGGTTACAAATAAGGCAACAGTGACAAATGCACACCAGCAACCACCGAGGACCTTTGTCCAAGTTGTTGCCGACTTCCTCAAGGTCCAGACAACCGCAACCCTCCCTCTCTGCCCAACTTGCCGTTACGACGCCGTCGAGCACCACCACTTCACACAAACACCAACGGCCATAATGATCTCGCCGTCCTCAAACCCAGCGTTGATGTTGCCCCGTTTTAGGAGCGCAGTCTAAAGTTGAAATCGTTGCCGCTGTTCCGTTTTAGGAGCGCAGTCCGAAGTTAAAATGATTGCTGCTGCTCTGTTTTAAGAGCTCAGTTCGAAGAAACCGGCATGCTGCTGTTGCTCTGTTTTAAGAGCTCAGTTCGAAAAAGAAACCTACGTGTTGCTGCTGTTCCGTTTTAGGGGCGCAGTTTGAAGACATTGACGGTTGCTGCTGTTCCGTTTTAGGGGTGCAGTGCAAAGACATTAGTATTTTTGTTTCAGCTCCGTTTTAGGAGCACTCAAGGGATTTGGCAGAAAGTCGGGGAAGGAAGTTGTATAAAAAGAATGATACTTCCAGCAAAGAAAAAGAAACAACAACAAACCTCCGTCGTCGTCTTAGAGTTAAGAAGAAGAAGGATTGCTAACCAAGTTTAATCTGTTTAAATTAGGAAGTGAAGGAAATGGTCTCCAGCAAGCAAATAAAAGGTGAAGAGGTGAAGTTTGTCGTAACACATCCCTCCAAGTTTGTCGTGAAGTTTGTCAAAACAATATGAAAGCGATGATATGGAGACCACTAAGTTTTAAAGTTAAGAGGGGATCACGTGAAGAACAAAAGAAAGCCACCACTTCCCATTTAATTATGGTCTTTGTAAATTTTGCATTCAATCAAAAGCATGGAGACAAAATGACAAGAGTACAAAACAAAGTTTTGCCTCTTGTGGAAAACCAATCACGGGAACAAAAGAGGTCCCATTAATTGAATAGGGTGCATGAAACAATTAATATGGAGACAAAGTGATAGGTGCTACAAGACAAAAGGAAAGAGAGGATTTTTCAAGTTCTATTTGAACTTGGAAGCCTTAAAATCACATGAAAAGAAAAAAAGTAAAAGTAAATCTTGCTGTCAAGACGCTTGGAAGTCCCACTTTATGACAAAGTACTATTTCACTTTGAATTGTGCATCTCACATGGAATTTTGCTTAAGGAAAAGACATTATCCTATTTCACAAACGACTTCTCATTTTGCCAAGTCTAAACACAAGAATGCAAATCCAAATCAAGCATTTACGAACTACGCCGGTTTGATTCCGTTAAGGATACATAGGCAGTCTGATATCAAATTTTAGACGCAACCATGAAATCAAGATGAATCCCTGGTTTATATAGACTAAATTCACTTCTGACCAAGTAATTACAAACTCTACGAAGAGTAAAGGAAAAGTCTAAAAGCACAGTTCCTAGATTTCCAATTAAAGTATGCTGCTCAAGCAATAAAGTTGAAGAAAAAGTCAAATATCAAATGGCACGAGGCCGCGACAAAATCTCAAGTGCCACGAAGTCACGTCAAGTTTCAGAGGGCACAAGGCCGTATCAAATCCCAAATGGCACGAAGCCGAAGAAAAATCTTAAATGGCATGAAGCCACATCAAGCTCCAATGGTTTAAAGTCCTCGCTTGCATGAGCTAAAACTTCATAAGGCATTAAACGCTCCAATGGCTTAAAGTCCTCGCCCGCACGAGTTAGAACTGCACAAGGCATCAAATGCTCCTCACCCGCATGAGCTAAAACTGCACAAGGCATCAGTTGCTCCAATGGTTTAAAGTCCTCGCCCACACGAGCTAAAACTGCACAAGGCATCAAAAGTTCCAAGTAACTCAAATGCTCCTCGCCCGCATGAGCTAAAACTGCACAAAGCATCAAATCCAAACAAGTACCAAATACATGAACTACGAGTGACTTAATCCCTCAAGAGGGTACATAGGCAATCTAGGGTTCGACCTAGGTGCAATCACAAAATCAAATGAACACCAAAATCCTCAAGTTACATTTTATTCGAATTGGAATCAAAGGGTATTCCTTTCCCAAAAGAAGGGTTGTAATTAATTGGCGCGTAGCCTAGAATGGGTCGAACTCGAATTAATAAAACCCTCTTCGGAAAAATGAACGAGGGTGAAATTGTGTCGAGTGAATTATTTGTTTACATATTATGTACAATTTTTGCTCAACATCTTGCCACTTAGTACTACAGTCTATGATATTTTTCTTATTTGTAAGCGATAGGTTTTAGGTAATTCTCGTCTAAAACGAATTTGAACTACATTATTGCTAGCCCATTGTGAGGCTAAGTCCACCCATCTCTTTTTGTGTGGATAACATTGTTTGTAAAAAAAAAATATAATGAAATATTCTAACACTAACTAGGTGCATCTTGGCCACTACAGTCTGGTAGTATTCCTTTTCACTTGAAAATGAGAGATCTTAGGTTCGAATCTCGTGGATGACAAATTTGATACCAAATTAAGCTGTCGAATATGTGATGACCCATCATAAGCGTTACAACTTACTAACCTTCCTGCACGCTGCCCGCATGTGAAAGGCTTTTATTTTTATTTTTATTTTTTTTATTTTATAATTTTTTTATTATGGACACTACGCACCCCTTAAGTTATTTTCATGTGTTTAAAAATAGAGAACATAATCTTTACTAAACAACTTATTGTATGATGATTGGACACAGTAATGGCAACGTTACATAATAAGTCATATAGGGAGGAGTTTTAAGCTGGCTAGAGGTTAAAACAGAAGAGTGGAGTTTGTTTCAAACCGCAACGTGTAATTGTAGACTTGTAGTGGTGTTTGCATGGTGAGTTGCTATATTTCTGAGTCCTTTACTCCCTGCAAGCCTAGACGAAAGTGGGAAAAAAAAAATATTAAATTCTAATAAGATATTAGAATTTACCGAATAATGTTATGTTGAGGGAAGCTCTTAAATTAAATGCCAAATGCCCTCTTCATCGAAATGGTTTCATCCTCATTCCTCACAGTATATGAAGTCAGAATTGCAAGAAAACGACCTATCCATATATTAACCACCAATTTGGAGATGCTAAAAGAACGAAAATTTGATGTTAAAAACATGAATTAGAAGAAAAATGGGAATAAAAACATAAATTGGCACTAATATCTATCCTCCAAACCTTTATCTGTACAAATCAGACACTCCCGATTTCACCAGAAACCGCCAAGTCTTGGGTTCCGCAGTTGGTAGTCAGGACCTTATTGGAGACATTTTGTGATTATCACTTGCTCCAATGGATAATGGAATTACAGACACCAGGTTATAGTTCCCCTCGATGTCATCATAGTTCTTTAACCTTAATTTAGTTTTGAGTGAAAATATTACCAGAATTTAAAAAAAAAAACATAAAAACAGTTAAATTAATAGTGCCCTATAAGTCAGAGTGCTTACGCCATGAATCGTGCAATGGCATAGCATCAAATTAACCATTTCATCTGGTAAAGTCTCCGGCTTCGCAACAAAACCCTACAAACACAAAAATTAACCCACAAAAATAATAACCGTGATTCACAGAGAGAGAGAGAGAGAGAGAGAGAGAGAGAGAGAGAGAGAGAGAGAGAGAGAGAGAGAGAGAGAGATGGGTGTATGGACGTGAGGGTGGTTCTTATAAATGGCCATTGATTCAGCAAACCACTTTTGCTGTTGACGTTGATCAATTTTGTAAATTCTACGTGGGCAGAACATGGGATGAGAATGTGCACGTCTCTATTATTTATTTTCTTTATTTGTTTTGAAATTACTCGATCTCTTTTCCAATAATTTTTTTTTGTATGTATTTTTTTATGACAAAATTATCCCTGTGAATTTTGTTCTATTATTTTCAGTAAGGTTTGAATTTTTTTGTTTTAGGGACTTTTATGTCCAATTTTTGTTAGTGAAACTTTGAGACATTAAAACTCACTTCTGGCTTTTTAATATTAGAGATATGTTTAGTTCATAAATCAAGTTACCTCCGGCTGGGTTCGGGTTAAAATTTTAACAGTCATTGCCGTCGTCCGGTATGACTCCGTCTCTTGATTCCTTCATACAATTAAACCAACAACAAAAACAACATTCAAACTTCCAAAGGGAAGACAGTTTCCTTTTTCCCTTTTGTATTGATGTAAAAACTAAATTGTATACAAGAAAATTATCATCACGCGAGACCACAGATGAAGTTTTATGACTACGTCACAGAGAAGAAAAAACTCCGTAGCAATTTAAGTAGTTTCCAAGAAATACAAAGTTGAAGGCTGAGTGTATCTCCAATAAAGATGTCAAAAGTTAATTTGATGATTGACGTGATAATGTAAGAATTATTATATTTGTAGGATCCATTTAAAAAAGAAATCAATTAAAATAAAATTTTAAAATCTATAATTGATGCATTAATTGGATCAACGCAATAAAATAATTAAAAATTATTTGACATTACCTTTTCTCATATGTCAATCTACATAGTATTGACATATCGGTTGAAACTTGCTTATACCTTCAAATTTGATTATATGTCATTCCACTTAAGATATAGCGTCTTCTTTACAGATGGTTCGAAAGTTCTGGTCTCCTCCGTTTCGGAATACTTTCGTCCATCATCGCACTCGACTCGATGAATCTTGTCCATCACTTCCTTGTTATTGTCTTGCTTCTGATAATCCCTTGGGCAGCTCCTTTATCTTTCAATTTCCCCACTTTCCAACAAAGTGATCTTACCAACGGTACTGGATTATTAATTACCGAGGGAGATGCTGTTATCGCCAACCAATCCATTCACCTCACCAAAGACAACGTGGGTGGGGAAACAACTCAAGGAAGTGTTGGCCGAGCTACTTACAGCGAACCATTCCTCCTCCGGGACAATGCTACCAGAAAACTTCAACACAAGTTTCACAATTAGATTTGAATGGCACCCCACCACCCACACCAACCCCCCCCCCCCCCCCCCCCGGGAGCACTTGGAGTAGGTAGCAGTATGGGCCTCTCTGTCAACAGCTCAGTGGAAAATGTTACAGAGCCAAGCAATAAGTACCCTTTTCTGGCGGTGGAGTTTGATACCTCTTGGAGTTCAAGGCCAACGGTGGAGGATCCAGACTTCGGACACGTGGGGATTGACATCAACTCTGTCTAGTATTACCAAGCCTTGGAATAGTGGTGGTGTGGAAGGAAAACTTAATCGTGTTTGGATTAGTTATAATTCGAACTCGAAAAATCTTAGTGTTTCCCTCACCACTTATGCCAATGATAACCGAAAACAAGTGATTACTCTCAGTTTTTTGGTTGATCTTGTTTGGATCAAAACTTGAATTTTGGGCTCAGAAAAGGGGCTGGCCCAAAAGGATGCCCAAGGGAGAGTCGGCCTAAGCCCAGCCAAAGCCCAGAAAGCAGAAAAGGGGCTTTCCTGACTTGGTGCAGCTCATGAAGACCACTTGCTCACCTACCCAAAAGCCAAGTGGTATAGACTGACCAGCTATATAGCCCATAAAGTACTTTATAATGGCAGAACAAGTAATATAGCCGATGAGTCACTGCTTCTCAAGTTGCATTCGGGCAAGGCTGCTGCTACAAGAGGCCAAGCTGAGTTGTCTATAAAAGAAGAAAGAGAAATCAGGATTAAGGACACTCAAACAAACAAACAAATGCAAACACAAACTCTGCTCAAAGCTAGATTTGCCTTTAGAACGAAGCTGTAGTCAGCCCAAGCCTTCATCCCTCTCGGGACAAGCCTTCACTCAACCCTTGTAATAGCTCTGCTACCCTATTCAACCTTGCTGTAGTATCGATTTCTCTTTGTAAAACTCCTTTCCTTACCTCTCCCTAAAAGCTCTCAGACCCTTGATAAGCCACAAAGATAGGAACCTGCAAGACGACCAGGCTTGCCCGACAAGGTTAAACCTTGCCCGACCTTCTTGTGTTTTTGTCTTTTCATTCATTAGCCTAGCAATATGTTGTATACTTCCAGTTGTATTCAAGATTTCGATTAAGGTGACGATTGAAAAAATCTCTGAGTGCTTGGATCCGATTTGAATATATCTTCATTGTTCAAATCAGATCTAAGTTCTAAGCCCTCGGGCATATAAACTTGATCAGTTGAAAGTCCTTAGCCTCAAGGCATAAAAAAGAACCTTATGTGGACTTAACCCATCCACGATAACCCTTGATAAACAAGAAGTCCGAAGTTACTTGGGGCGCAAGTAATCGACCTATCCCTTAGTTTTATTTCTATTATATTATGATTATTATAGAACGCTTAAGCATGGAATGGATTCTGATAGGAAGCCTCAAGGCCTACACCTAAGGCCCCACAAAGGCATCTATTTGGATTCATTCCATTCTGCGGTCTGGAACGTTTGAGTATAAGAACGAATTCTGATAGGAAGCCTCAAGGCCTATACCTAAGGCCCCACAAAGGCACCTATTTGGGTTCGTTCTATCTCTCAAATTCGGGTAATCAGAAGTATAATAGTTGTAAGCTCCTGCAATCAATCGACCGCATATTATATGTTCGAGCACTGGTTTAGTTATTGATGGGAAGCCTCAAGGCCTACACCTAAGGCCCCACAAAGGCACCTGTTATAACTAACACGGTTTCTCGGGCATATATATATATATATATACACACAATTAAAACGCGATACCCATTTTACATCTGCCATGCTAAAGATGGCAGTAGCACGCCTGAGTACTTAGAAGTTAATCTTGATTGTGAGCCTCAAGGCCTACACCTAAGGCCCCACAAAGGCACCTTTCAAAGTTAACGCTGTCCTTCTCTTCCAGCCTTGCCCGATAGGCCGTGCCCGACGAGCCTTGCCCGACAAAGCCCGACAGAGAAGCAGAAGCCCGACAACAGCCCTCAACCGGCGCCAACCTCCTGGGGAGCTGTGTGCTCGTCGGCCAGGAAACGTCCCCGACGGAAATTCCTGACGCGAACAGATCTGAGTAAATACTTGCCGGTTGGGTCGTTGTCGGGTTTTCTGCTTCAACAGGTAAAGCTCCTCCTCTGCTCACCTCCTGGAATTTACTTCTACTTCACTGGTAGGTGATGGATCCCCTGCTCTTTCTAGCCAAGAAAATAAAGGTCTAGAACTAATCATTTGGGCCCAAACTATAAAAGAAGAATCTCTAGTTCCTGAGCCAATCCCTAGATCTAATGTCAAGTCAAGAAGACGAAAGAAACGAATGGGTGTCGTGATAGTAGTGCTTTAGGTTTGTATAACTCGTGCAAGAAAAGGGCAACAGGAGGAAGGGCTGATAAAAATCTTACGATTTCGAATCATTTGAGTGAAAAGGAGATCTCCCTGAAGAAATTTAGTGATAAAGAGTTGGCTTGGGCGACAAGGAACTTTTTTGATGGAGAAAAGATTGGAGTGGGAAGATATGGTGCCTTTTACAAAGGCTACATAAAAGAGTTGAACATATATGTTGCTGTGAAGAAGATGTCAAGAAGATCCGAACTGGTGCCCAAAGAGTATGCATCAGAAGTAAGGATTATCAGTGAACTTCAACATCGGAATCTGGTGCAACTCATTGGTTGGTGCCACGAAAAAGGAGAACTCCTACTTGTCTATGAGTTCATGCCTAACGGAAGCTTAGACTAATATTTATTCAAAGAACAGATCTCGTTAGTTTGGGAGGTAAGATACAAAATTGCTCAAGGCTTGGCTTCCGGGTTGCTTTATTTACACAAAGATTGTCGACATTGTTTGCTCCATCAGGGAATAGCATCCAGCAACGTTATGTTGGATTCGAATTTCAATGCTAAACTTGGGGATTTTAGATTAGCTTGGCATCTATATGAAAAACACTCGGACACTATGCCATTAGCTCCAGAGTATGCTGCCACACAGAGAGTTACCAAGAAATGTGACATCTACAGCTTCGGAGTTGTTGCTTTGGAGATTTCCTGTGGAAGAAAGGCCATCGAACCAAGGTTTGCAGGTGGTCGAGTCAATATATAGTTGAGTGGGTTTGGCAGCTTTATGGAGAAGGGAAGATCATGGAAGCAGCTGACCTGAGGTTGTGTGGAAGTTTTGATGAAAAACAAATGGAGTGCTTGTTGATTGTCGGTCTGCTCATCCAGATTACAATTCCAGACCTTCAATACGACAAGTGATCCAAGTGCTTAACTGCGAAGTCAAAGTTCCGTTGCTCATTCTTCCATTAAGGGCGCCAATGTCTACCTCTCCTCCTGACATATCACTCTCAGCGTCGTCTAGTTCTACAACCATCGCCACTAAGCCTCCCTCGAGCTCTCGCTGAAGTCGGTGGACTGTTAAACCTCGACTGCTGACCACCCAATCTGGTCTGACGCAGCCGATTCCCCGATGTTCTTGACTCGATCGACGACCTCATCGCCACGATCCAAGACTGAAATGGACTCCCATGGCCGACGACGAGTTTGTCGGCGTCACGCGTCTTGAGTTTCGTATGGAGCAGGCCACTCTCACTCTCCCTGACTCGTCCTCTCCTCTCTCTCACACCCAGCTCTATCTGCCGTTCATCCTTCATCATCACCGAACCCGGACCATCACCAAACTTCCAGAAGCTACTGGTTTGAAGATTAAGCCTAGCCGACACAGATTTGCCGATCTTGGGTTTATGAGATGGATTGGGATTTTGGGTTTTCTGGGTTTTTTTTTTGTTGGAGGTTGCGGCGGTCATTCGGAATTGGGAAGAGAAAAGGTGGATTTTGATGAATTTTTGTTGTTGCAGAAGAGGTGGTCCTTCGGAATTGGAAGGAAGAGAAAAGGTTGATTTTTAATGGATTTCAGTTGTTGCAGAAGAAACAGAAGGCGTTTGGAGCCGTGGATCCGTCCCGAATCGGTCTGTTTTAAATGAATTGGGTTGGATCTGGTTCCAAATCAACTTGGCCCACCCTATTGTATTTTAAAACAAGTCCGATCCTGTCCCTTCAAATTTGAACCTGGCTCAGCCCGTGCTCACTCCTACTTAGACCCTTCAGATTTAGTTTAGAGATGAACTTTCTCTAATGTAAGTTGCCATGAAACTCATCATTGAAATGAAGAGAACCATTTTGTAATTCAGGAAAATTTAAAAGTTTTGGACCTTGTAAAAGTACATTGACTGATGGTTACAGTTCAATTTACTAAGAGTATTTATTTCTGCATCTAAGGCCGTACATTTGATATTCCTTTCCAAATATCATTCACATAGGAAGACATAAAATACAAAAAGAGATAAGTAATGCTAGGTAGACAAATTTTTTAAACCAAATTTGTAAATCATATGATATGTCATCAATAAGAAATAAACACGTTAATCAACACTTAAGTAATAATTCAATCATAAAAAATAACGTTATGGTTTACAGAATTTAGTTTAAAAAGTTAACTCTTAGTATTACCCTAAAAACACAGGAGAATTCAAGGAAAAATGCGCTGAAAAGAAACTACAGCAGTTTCCAAGAAGTAAAGAAAAGTACGAGATTGTACGCGTTGCAATCCCCAATTAGAAGTGACAAACTTGATGGCCACAAGTGCTGGTTTCGGAACACTTTCACTAAAGTCAGGCAACCAGGTCTCCAATTAGAGACAATATCGCTTTTGTGTGGTCACGGTTAAGCCACGTTAATATTTTATATTACTTTTTTATAGAGATAATAAGAAAAAAATGACACTGAAAGTAGTGGGAGGGGGCAAACAACCTTGTCCGAAGTTTTTTATTTCGTCACAGGGAAGAAAAAAATTCCATAGCACTTAAGTAGTTTCCAAGAAATACGAAGTCGAAGGCAGAAAGTTCTGGTCTCCCCCTGTTTCGGAACACTTTCGTTACATTTTTTTTCTATTATAAATGGCTCCGCGGTCTGCTCTTTTCTAAAGCGACATGGTCTCTTCCCCCAAACCAAAAATGGCTGCCGTCATCGCACTCGACTCGACGAATTTTGTCCATCACTTCCTTGTTATTCTCCTGCTTCTGATAATCCCTTGGGCAGCTCCTTTATCTTTCGATTTCCCCACTTTCCAACAAAGTGATCTTACCAACGGTACTGGATTATTAATTACTGAGGCAGACGCTGTTATCGCCAACCAATTCATTCGCCTCACCAAAGACTTGGATGGGGAAAAAACTAATGGAAGTGTCGGCCGAGCTACCTACGGCGAACCCTTCCTCCTCCGGGACAAAGCTACTGGAAAACTTGCCGATTTCAACACAAGTTTCACATTCAGATTTTATGCCAGAAACTTCACCGCCCTCTTTTATGACCAGGGGCTTGCTTTCTTCTTAGCGCCAAACGGATCCTTAGTCAACCGAGCACTTGGAGTCGGTGGCAGTATGAGCGTCCCTGCCAACAGCTCAGTGGAAAATGCTACAGAGCCAAGCAATGAGTACCCGTTTGTGGCGGTGGAGTTTGATACCTCCCGGAATTCAAGGCCAACGATGGAGGATCCAGGCAGTGGTCACGTGGGGATTGACATCAACTCTGTCAAGTCTAGTATTACCAAGCCTTGGAATAGTGGTATTGTGAAAGGAAAACTTAATCGTGTTTGGATTAGTTATAATTCGAGCTCAAAAAATATTAGTGTTTCCCTCACCACTTATGCGAATGATACCCGAAGGCAAGTGATTACTTCTCTCAGTTATTTGGTTGATCTGAATGAATACTTGCCGGATTGGGTCGTCGTCGGGTTTTCTGCTTCAACGGGTGCTGCTCCTGCTCTGATTGACATCATGTCATGGAATTTCACTTCTACTTCGCTGGTAGGTGATGGATCCCTTGCTCTTTCCAACCAAGAAAAGAAAGGTCAATCTCTAGTGCCTTCAGCCCAAACGATAAAAGATGAATCTCTAGTTCCTGAGCCAAGCCCTAGATCTAATGTCAAGTCAAGAAGACGGAAGAAACGAATGGGAGTCGTGATCAGTAGTACTATTGGTGGGTTTATCTTGGCTTGTATTTTAGCTTTGGGTTTGTATAACTCGTGCAAGAAAAGAGCAACAGGAGGAAGGGCTGATATAGACCTTACGATTCCTAATGAATTGGGTGAACAGTTCTCCGATAAGATATTTAGTTATAAAGAGTTGGCTAGGGCGACGAGGAACTTTTCTGATGGAGAATTGCTTGGAGTTGGAAGACATGGTGCCTTTTACAAAGGCTACATAGAAGAGTTGAAGACATATGTTGCTGTGAAGAAGATAACAAGAAGATCCGAACTGGTGCCCAAAGAGTCCGAACTAGTGCCCAAAGAGTATGCATCAGAAGTAAGGATTATCCGTGAACTTCATCATCGGAATCTGGTGCAACTCGTTGGTTGGTGCCACAAAAAAGGAGAACTCCTACTTGTCTATGAGTTCATGCCTAACGGAAGCTTAGACAATCATTTATTCAAAGAACAGATCTCGTTAGTTTGGGAGGTTAGATACAAAATTGCTCATGGCTTGGCTTCCGGGTTGCTCTATTTACACGAAGATTGTGGGCAATGTTTGCTCCATCGGGGGATAGCATCCAGCAACGTTATGTTGGATTCGAATTTCAATGCTAAACTTGGGGATTTTAGATTAGCTTGGCATCTATATGAAAAACACTCGGACAGTATGCCATTAGCTCCAGAGTATGCTGCCACACAGAGAGTTGCCAAGGAATTTGACGTCTACAGCTTCGGAGTTGTTGCTTTGGAGATTTCCTGTGGGAGAAAGGCCATCGAACCAAGGTTGGCAAGTGGTCGAGTCAATATAATTGAGTGGGTTTCGGAGCTTTATGGACAAGGGAAGATCATCGAAGCAGCTGACCCGAAGTTGTGTGGATTTGATGGAAAACAAATTGAGTGCTTGTTGAAAGTCGGGCTGTGGTGTGCTCATCCAGATTACAGTTCCAGACCTTCAATGCGACAAGTGATCCAAGTGCTTAACTGTGAAGTCGAAGTTCCGTTGCTCATTCTCCCATTAAGGACGCCAATGTCCACCTCTCCTCCTGACATATCACTCTCATCGTCGTCTAGTTCTATCACCAGTTTTCAAGAAAACAGTGGGTCCTCAGGCCATGGAGATATGGATAACACCAATTCCTTGGATCCTGAACGTGTCGTTGAGAGCTTGGACCCTTCAGAACCTGTCACTGTGGTCTTACACCCAGAGTCGAATATTGCTACACACCGATCAAGGACGCCAATGACTACCTCTCCGGACATACCACTCTCAGCGTCGTCTATTTCTACCCCCCGTATTGAGAGAAAAAAAGGGGTCCTCAAGCATTTGTTCAAGAAAGTCCTCGGGATGTCGTTGTGATCTTAGACCCAGCGGCGTCTAGTACTCTCATCTGTTAGAGATATTAAGTCAATAGGTCAGATGATGACAAGTGTCAAAGGATTAAGAGTAGTTGTTAGTTTTTAGTCTGATGTGTTTGTTGTATAAATACTCATTAACAGTGTTGCTTACATATCAAGAAATACATTTGATACAATTTTACTTCTCTCTCTTCTTTCTCTGTCATAGCTCTCAAATCATTTACTATCAAGAATGTTATAGAACTTCATCTACAAGATTAACATCATCAAGGACGCCAACTACTACCTCTCTTGACATATCACTCTTAGCGTTGTCTAGTTCTACCACCACCAGTTTTCAAGAAAAAAATGGGTCCTCAGGCCATGACGATATGGATAACGCCAGTTCGTTGGTCCCGGAAGGTGTCTGTGAGAGCTTAGACCCTTCGGATTCAGGGTAGAGATGAAATTTAAAGGTTTGGCCTATAACTTTCTCAAATAAGTTGTCAAGAAACTCACCATTGAAATGAAGAGAACCATTTTGTAATTCAGGAAAATTTTAGAGTTTGGACCTTATAAAAGTACATTGACTGATGGTTAATATAAAAGTACATTGACTGATGGTTAATATAAATACGTTAATCAAACTTTGTGTATATATATTTTCAACTGGAAATATCAACTTTGCAATCATTTGCTTCCCTATTTTAGAGGCCGCTCGTTTGTCACACGGTGAATTAGTGACAAGGGAGTATCTCTCGTCTCTGTGAACACCAGTGTTTTTCTTTCCCACCAAAAGCAAAAATGGCTGCCATCGCACACCTCTCACCAAAGCTTGATCATCACTCCTTTGTTATTCTCCTGCTGCTGTTAATCCCTCCTGCAGCTCCTGTTTGAATTGAAAATAAACTTTGGGCCTTTGCACTGGCCCAACTCCTTCAGAAAATCACCAACGGCAAAATTAGGTGGCACGTATATGAATAGAATCAGGCTGGGGGAATTTTTGCAGAGTTTTGGCAACGAAAAAGCGCTTTTCAAAGGCAAAAACTTGTAATTCAAGAGGATCAAGGGTAAACTCATCCCTTGCCGAGCAAGTCACACCAACCACTTGATGATAAGAGGGATGTATCAAAGACAGAAAGCTTAATTCACAGGAAAGGAAGCTCAATAAAAGCAACTAACCCGAAGTTGTGTGGAAGTTTTGATGACAAACAAATGGAGTGCTTGTTGATTGTCGAGATTACAAATCCAGACCTTCAATACAAGTGTTTCAAGTGCTAAACTACGAATCCGAACTTCTGTTGCTTATTCTCCCATCAAGGACACCAATGACTACCTCTCCTCCTGAAAATCACTCTCGGTGTCGTCTAGTTCTACCACCAGACCTGAAGAAAAAACTGGGTCCTCAGGCCATGGTGATATGGAGAACACCAATTCCTTGGTCCCGGAAGGTGTCGTGAGCCATTAGATCCTTTTTGTAGTTCAGGAAAATTCTGAAGTTTCGAACCTTACAAAATTACATTGATTGATGCATGGTTGGTTAAAATATAATTCAACCGAGTATTTATTTCTTCACTTGAGGTCGTGCATTCGATATCCCTTCTGGAAATAAAGAAGAGTGCCAGATTCTAAGTGTGCAAGTCAACCAGCGGTGACAAGGTTGATGGCCCCAAGTGCTGGTTTGGGAACAATTTCACTAGATTCAGTCAACAGGTCTCCAAGTCCTCCCCCCAATCAAACTTTGTTTATACATTTTCAACTGGAAATTTCACCCTGCAATTATCTGCTTCTCCATTTTAGAGGTCCCTTGGTTGTCACACGGTGAATTGGTGACAAGAATGTCTCTGTCGTCTCTGTTAGCACCAGTGTTTTTCTTTCCCACCAAAAGCAAAAATGGCTGCCAATAACTCGGCTATCATGGCAGTCCTCTCACCAAAGCTTGATCATCACTTCTTTTTTATTCTCCTGCTTCTGTTAATCCTTTGTGCAGCTCCTTTATTTGGAATTTCCCACTTTTGACAAGGTGATCACACCAACAGTACGGATGTGTTGAAAAAATTAGTTACCGAGGGAGATGCTGTTATGAGCAACCAACTCATTCACCTCACCAAAGGCAGAAGGGGAGGGGAAACACTTGTGGCTTATGGAAGCGTTGGCCGTGTCAGGTACGGCAAACCCTTCCTCCTCCCGGACAACGATACAGGAATACTTGCTGATTTCAGCTCAAGTTTCACGTTCATGATCAACACAAAAAACAGTACCACCCCCTCCTATGCCGAGGGGCTGGCCTTCTTCTTAGCCACCAAACGGGTCCTTACTCAACCGAGCACTTGGAGTAGGTAACACTATGGGCCTCCCTGTCAACAGCTCCATGAAAAATGTTACTGAGCCGAGCAATGAGTACCCGTTTGTGGGGTTGGAGTTTGATATCTATCGGAATTCAAGGCAAATGGTGGAGGATCCAGACGGCGGTCATGTGGGGATTGACATCAACTCCGTCAACTCTAATATTCCCAGGCCTCGGAATAGTGGTATTCTTGAAGGAAAAGTTAATCGTGCTTGGATTCGTTATAATTCGAGCTTGAAAAATCCTAATATTGCCTTCACCGCTTATGCTAATGACACCCAAGAGCAAGTGATTAGTTCTCTCAGTTACTTGGTTGATCTAAATAAATACTTGCCGGATTGGGTCGTTGTCATCTTTTCTGCTTCAACAGGTGGTGCTACTGCTTCGCACAACATCACCTCATGGAATATCACTCTCGAGGTCGCCTAGTACCAACGCTTCTGAAGGAGGTCAAATCGAGTCGTGTGATAGTACCAATTCCTCCAGAGTGCACCGGATCTTCTGCAACAAATTCTCGTCCCTCTTCACTTGGATAACAAATAACTTTTCCGACGTCTTCTCATGTTCGCCACCAATCAAATAGCAAGCCTCGGTTATTGTTATTGTTATGATTTTTCGATCGTTTCAACTGCAACGCTAAGAATTCTCTGATAATATACGAGTGTGAATTATTAGCGAAAATTTGATTAGAGAACTATACGAAACTCCTAATCCCTTAGTAAGCAAATTTACAAGTAGCGAGTATTGAGATCAATGGCTACATAAACAACAGCATGGAGTGGTAGGGTATCAAAAAGACACCAACACAAACTTGACAAATTTTCAACAAACAACAAAAACACAAAAACAGAAATTCCGAAATCCGAAATCCAAAAACCTGCATCAGGATTCAGGAGGAGTAATCTGATGAGAGAGTCCTCCTTCTTGCTTCTTGCGCAAGACGAACACATCGGCCTCTTCGTACGCATAATTGGGGTGCAAATCCTCATGCGGATCTTTCTCGATCAAAAAAACTCTCTCACTCATTTCCCAGAACAGTTGGTGTGCTTCCAGGGACCTCACTTGGTACCCAAGTAAAACAACTCCATCGTCCTTAACCAGCGCCTCCATGGTGGACACAAGCGGGCCCACAGTCTCTTCGATGTACACAACGTCGGTCGCCATCACGACGTCGTACGGAGGACTCAGGGGCTTGGCCTGATCGGCCGGCTTGTTCCAGTGCACGATGGCGTGCTTGATCGTTTTCCCCAGGACAGCTTGTTGCGCTTGAGGTTGTGCTTCAGTGCGGGCATGACCGCGGACGAGGTCGGTCAGGCCAAGGAGGTACAGGCCCATGCCGGCGGCCCCGCATCCGGCCCCGGGCTAGACGGCTCGTTTGCCGTGGAAGTCGAGGACGGCGGAGTAGGAGTTGTGGGAAATGTTGGGGTTGGGTAGGGCCCAGCGCTCGGCGAATTTGACGAGGACTAAGGAGCAGGGCCAGACGGAGGTGCCGACGTGGAAGGAGCCGTTGTCCTGTTGGAGGGAAAGGAGGGCGTCGCGGACCGGCAGCTCTATCACTGGTGAGTCGGTGAACTTCATGCCTCCTTTTTCCTCACTCCCTGCTCCTAAGACCAACTCCAGCGTTGTAAAGTTCCTAGGGCAACTAACTATTGAATAGCGTACCGTAAACAGTACATGCCTTTAATAAACAGTAATTATATTTTGTATCTTTACTCATGAACTAAATAGTCATGGTAATATGCAATAAAATATTAGTATTTTTTATTTTGTAAAATAATAAAAATTTTATTTCAAATTTCGGATATAATTTTTAATCGGTCTCGTTGTACCACGTTTCATTAAATAAGAAATTACAACTCAAATTATTTAAGAAAATATAAAATTATGGTATAAGGTGGAAGATAATGATAAGATATTTATAGAAAAAAATTACTTTTTTATTTTTAAATTTTTTTTCCGGATTTTTTTATTAATTGTTTGCATTTTTTTTAAATTTTTTTAATTTTTTTTAATTTTTTTTTAAATTTTATAATGTAGTTGACGTCAGGATGCATCACATGGCCTCAGGCTTCGGGCCACCAATTTAAGCCGGGCCTCTCACTCGGGCCCCCCTCAGTCCACACGCCCGTATGGGCTGGAGCTTGTAGCTCTGGCTATTGGGTTGGAAAAATGACCGGTCCATCGAGCTACTCCCCCGGCTGGAGTTGGTCTAACCGGAGCTTCATCTTTATTTTGTGTTTTTCTTTAGCGCCAAGTAAATTCAATATCTTTAGAAGTTTAGTAGTACAATATCTTTTCTGACCATCAATATTCTCCCACCGGAGATTTGAACTTGACTACAATAAAAAACACATTATTTTAGACAATTTGACTAAATTCACATATACTAGCCATTTAGGCTCTGATGCAACATGAATGACAATTTTGAACGCGATGTGATTAGAGATGGGCAACAGTTATGGCAGGTGAGTAACCGCGGTTATTTATTCATAATCGTTTATTCTCATACCCGCATAACCGTTTACCCATAGGGTAATTACCTAAACGGTTATACTTATACCCATAATCGTTTATAAACGGTTAACCATACCCATAGTCGTGTACCCATTTAACCGTAACCGTTTAATACTCGTTTACCCATTTATCATTTTTTTAACTCGTTTATCCTTTCTTTTTTACCATTTACTCCTTTTTCCCCGTCTACATGTTTTTTTAACAACTTAAAAATTAAAAAGAAAATTTTGTCATAATTTTATTTTTCTAATAATTAAACACCGTTATAGGTACATTCATCATATATTTCCGCATTTTAATTTTTTAAGTCGTTATATCATTCCAATAATTGAAATAATAGTTTACGGACGATATTTTTAATTGTTTGTAAAGGTAATATAAAATTTGCTAAGTATTCTTCGGTTATAAAAATTGTTAAAAGACAATATTCTTGGGTTATTTAATTCGGAATGTAAAGTATTAACATAATATATATAATGGATCATGAAATTTAAAGTGGTTAAGGAAAACTATATTATATTAGCTACATAAATCATGCACTATAGTCAATAGCATTGATCTAAGTTCTGTCCAATAGGGAACATGGTTTATGTTAATTTTACATATATAAAATAAATGGGTAAACGGTTACCCGTTTATAACCGCGGTTAATACCCATAACCACCAATTTAAATTTCGCGGGTAAACGGTTATATCCATAACCGTTTATTTATTTAAACGGTTATCCATAACCGTAACTATGAAATTTAAATGAACGGGTAACCACGGTTACCCATAACCAATGGGTATTTGCCCATCCCTAGATGTGACAACCTCTCACTAAAAGGACAAAATAAACGAATTTAGATCGGTCTAATCCTGTTTGTGTCATAACATTGTCAACCATTAACACGCCTAAATAAACATGGTGAACTCATATAACTCAATAACCCCTATATAACTCGTTAAAATTGAAGGTGGAATGACAAGTTCAACCCCTTTAATTGATTGTCCATTATATCTTGTGGACAGTTTTGTACTTTTTGATATTGAACGGTATAATATCGTGTCAATAATGTTATGTAACAAGTTTAATAACTGTGTCATGTTTATAAGTCATGTGAAGATCGCAGATTAAGCATAAGAAGAGCTGACCAAACTGGCCACGGATGTGAAAGCAGTGCCCTTGACTAATATATATATATATATATATGGATGATGATCAAGGGACAAAAATTTTGAAAAACATTTTTACACTCTTTTGTAATCTTTAGATCTTATAACATCTAACGGTATTGATTAAGAGTAATGTGAAGACTTTAAAACATTAAATGAATTGGATGATGATTTGGGTTATAACTAATAAGGAAAACACTAATTTAAAATTTAAAAAAAAAAATCTAACAAAAATAATTGAATTTTTTTTCAACAAAACCCTGAAAATATTTTTAACCTCCATCTACCTCTTTGTTTGCCGATTAGGCCTGCAACTCCATGCCTTGGATGTAAAGTCTTCTCCTTCTTTTTTTTTTTGTCTGAAAATATAAACTTTTCTTGGCTTTCCAAACAATGAACCCTAGTGAATAATAAAACATGATACTAAGCTAAGGGAAAGTTTTGCTTTAAGAAAAAAAAACAGTTAGGGTCTTGAGAAGGTTTAACGTTTAAGCGCCCTAATTTTAATCTAACAACTTAATCACTTTGTCACCTCCATAGCAAAACTCTAACAACCCAAGATCCAAGAATGAATATTTTGGATTTAGGCTTCTTCATTGTGGGTTTCAGTTTCACATTTTTTTTATCAGATTTTAAATTTGTTTTAAAAAACATTTTTTTCAATTTTATTCTATTAGATATTTTTTTATCATATATTCCACATAATCATTCAATTCATTTAATGTTTAAAAGTCTCCAAATCAACACTGTTGAATGTTATAAGATCTAAAGGTTTCAAAAGAGTGTAAAAATATTTGTCAAAATCTTTGTCCCTTGATCCTATCCCTATATATATATTATTAATAAAAAGTTAAAATGCATGAAGGAAAATCAGTGGGACTCTATATAAAATTGTCCCAATAACAAGCTAAGCCGTGACCAATATTCCTAGCAACGCCCTTCAATTATCGCTGGAGGGTGTCTATGGCCAATACATGGCGTACTCTCAGCGGACACGGTCGTCCGTGGCCATTGTCATCAATAGCCACACCTAAATCAGTGCCCATTGGAAAATTTTCTAGCAGTGTTTTACGTTTGAAAAAAAAAAATCACCCAACTAATAATTCTATTGTATCGATGTTAGCCTTAACCGTGCCCATAACTCGACTTATGTACACGAATTGCCACCACTAGACTGTCCACAATGGGAGACTTGAGACACCATCTAGATCGTTATATGTTGATGTGTACGACATTGACCCCATGGTTTTGCTATATTGTTTGGTAACTTAAAATGAGACAAAAACAATGTTTGCTTCACTAGTAAAAACTGGCCTAAGGCTACTGCTAATCTGTGGGCATTTTACCCTCAATAGCCAACATTAGATAAAATTGAAACGAATAGGCGAATAATCAATTGGCTGAAGAATTACTAATTGAACTGTTTTTTACATGAATAATTCTTGAAGAGAACCTATAAATTAAGTGAGAACTGAATGTATGCGATTCTTGACTTGCACACCAAAAATAAGAAGTTCAGTAAGGACACCCTTACTTTAGAAAACTTCTCGAAATGGGTATATAACACTTATGAAATTACACTTGTTCACTTACCAAAGTGATGGAACTGATAAGAAGTTAATGAACAAGATGCAATGTACTATGAAGAACTAATGCTATAAGAGTTGCCTAAAGACTCAGTTTGGTCTTCTTCAGGACCAGCAGTAGAACTAGACGACAATGAGAGTAATCCTGGAGAAGCTATTTATGTGGCCACCTCT